GGCACTGCAGGTCGCCGCCGCTCTCGGCGAGAACATTCCTGCCAAATGGAAATACAGCAGGGACGGCCCATGGTTTATGCGATGCTGATAGTGGTGAACTATTGCTAGACATGGCCCAAGGCTCAGTTTTACATAGTGCGAGTGAGCTCCGCTGGTGTCATCGTGACAACCGCCTTACCCCTCACTACAAACACACGAGACCCGACGCAGGGGGTGGAGAATCCGCAAGATACACCGCACGAACATGGTGTTCAATTCGTCGCGACTACGGCACAGGTAGTGGCGATCCAAAATTAGGGCAACCCCTGGAGGCTTCTTTTGTCACATTCCTACTGGGGAACGAAATCGCCAGTCGATTTCGTTCGTTCCTCGGGGCCGACCTAGCGTCTGAAGATGACCTTCTCGTGCGACGGCGCTGCTGTCATTTACGGAGGGTGCCGGAAAAAACTCTTGACGAAAGCACTCCACCTTACGCGCTCCAAGAGAATAACGAGGACATACCAACCACTCACCGAGGTTCAACGTGATCTCCTTCCTGTACTCCGTAGGCTTTGTCGCGGTCCGGGCTGTGTGTGCTGAGAACTCTGGCCCCAAAGGTAATGCTCTCGTGGCATGCGCGCATGGCGCGGCGAGTTTTTTTGTGCTGGCCCCTTCCCGGGTACCGTGTCTGCTGAGCTACCATGTACGGAGCCCCGTGGGGCCTTTTTTTTTGCTTTTTCCACCGCGTGCAACCCGGGTGAGCAACCTGTAGCACTACCTCCTCGTGCGAGCTCAGCGTATTGCACCCTGTTGCACCACCCGGCGCCTTCACACGTTCCTCCTCTCTCGCGGCGGTGTTTGTGGTACCCGAACGGGCTCCGCGCCCCTGGTGTTGCAACAAAGCAGTAGGTGAGGATAGACTATACAAGAAGAACCCCGCAAAACTCGAATTTGAAATCTTGGCTACAACCTCCGGCGCGCCCCCCTCGTTGTACTGCGGCCGTGCACGTTGATTGGTCTGTCTGTGAAAAGAAACTCGAGACACAGCCTTGCTCAAATTACACTAGACGGCCGTCTGTGTCTGCGTGCAATGTATGGTAAGATTTCACCCGCGCGTGCTGATCGCGTGTATTTATGTTGTGTCAATTCTGTGACATGTGTATGTTTTGGCGCCGGCAGCTGGCACCGGGGGTTGGATCTGACTTGACAACAAGTAGGACGACACACAAGAACGTCGTGAGCATCTCCGTAAAACTGGGCACTGCAGACGTGTCTGTACATACAAGCTTGTTGTCCTCTGCATGCTTCGCCGCTCCTCTTTTACAAAACACGCTCTACGTGTGTGTGTTACTCTGCGACCATGTTTTTTATGGTTTCTGTTGTTCTTGCTCTTTTCCGAACCGACGCAAGGGGCGCGACGGACCCCCCGCGGATCTGCACGCGCCGCGGGCGGGTAAAGGGAGGAAAACACAGCAGTGCCGGCATCCGGCTCGAGGAAGGGAGTCATGGAGCAAGCTGCCGAGGCTACCGCGGCGGTAAGATGAGTCATGCATCGTAGACGGGATTTCGTCCCGCGGTAAAGCTGCTTGCTTTGGTACGTGTTCGGCAAATGAGTCTAACCCCAAGATCTTGCTCGCTCGTTTGGGGCCAAACCGGCACCATGGATACAGAAGAACCTCTATACCCAACACTTGATATCAGAGCAATGATGATGGAGGAGGGAGGAGAGGGAATCTGCGACAGTTTTTTGTCGTTCAAGTGTACACAGTGCCGTTGATCACCACTCCGTGTTCGGGTCTGATAGCCACCGCCATTTCGTTACTGCCGTCCGCAGCTTGAAGCCTCACTGCAACGTCGGTGCTGCTGTCTATTGTGTTTTTGACTGGTCATGACTACTGAGTTGACACGAGACGTTGTTAACGCAGCTCACGAAATGTCACTCGTTTCATCTCGTCATGTTGGTGCTTGCGCTAAAAGAGGACCTCGCATGACCCCAAGTGCGACCGCGAAGACAGAGCAACGCGACTACAGCTGTTTTTGCCATTCATCTGCCCGTCCAATAGCCGCAGCCGGCATACACCAACACTGAAGCAGCAACAACACTAGCTCCATCTGCGAGGTGGGGGTATCCACACCATGCAGTGATAACCTGGGCGTGGCGGGAGCAGCCCTCAGCAATAGACCTCGTTATTTTTCCGCACTCTTTGATCTCGATTCGCCCGTTGTTGCAGGCGGCGGGAGGCATGTTCTCCGCGGGGGCGCTGTACCCGTTGGAGGTAATCAAGACCAACCTCCAGGCACACACGAAGCAGAGCACTGGACGACCTTCGCCGTCGCAGACGCAGGAGGCCGAGGAGGGCGGGGGCGGGGAAAGACAAACAACGTCCCCGGGAGGGGAAAGCAGACGGGCGGGCGGAGAGGAGGAGGAGGAAGAGGGGTTGTTGTTGACAAGGCGAAGCAAGCAAGAGGAGCGGCAGCTGGACTGTCCTCCGTCCGTCGCTTCCGTGGCGAAAGATATTTACTCGAGGGAGGGCATCGCCGGGCTCTACAGAGGTGTGGCTGTTTTTGTGTGTTTGAGGACGAGATACGGGGGGGGGGGAGAGGCTCAGCTCTGCCTGCCTTACAGCCGTTCGAAGCGGGGGGGTCAACTCTGCTTGCCGTACATTTGTTCGACAGCAGTTGGACACGCACCCCTTGTTAAATCGGGCAACGATCGTACTTGTACTAGGAACCCCTGCATGGTCCGTAGACTCTGCCCCCTCGATTTCATCAAAGCCGGGGGAACCTGTACGCGAAGAAAGAATATTGATTCCAAGCGTTTGAATACAAAGAAACGCTTTTTTGTTTCATTTTCAAGTCCACGGTAGCAACAATATCCAACAGTTTCGTGCTCTTGACGAATCTAGAATCTTGGGCGGGGTATTACCTCACAAGAACAACCTCACGGGAGCAACGCGTCTCTGTCTTATCCCCTGTATTCACTGCACAAGCGAACCGCTATTATAGAGCACCACAAGGGACTATGCCAGTAGTTTCCGACGACGCCTTCAAGCAACCCCATGCCATTTTTTGGTTCGTTCGTCTCAGGGGTGTGGTACGCGTCGACGCAGAGCGGGGTGGAAAAGGCGGCGTACTTTTACGGCTACGGCTGGTTGAAGGCGCTGGCGCTGCGGGGGGGGGGAAGTCGGGGAGAGCTCAGCACGGCGACAGATCTCGGGTTGGGCTACCTGGCAGAGGCGTTTCACCTTCCTTTTACGATACCTATCGAGGTGATAGAGCGCGCTCGCGCGCTTGCCCTCGACAATGGTCTTCGTTCAAATTGAGAATATGTCGCGATGATCGCGGCCATTGACTTTGCCGTGTACTGTACGTGTGTGCGTGACGTTGTTTTGAGAATAATCTTGGGGTGTGCGTGTGTGAGTCCCGTTTGCCACACCGTTCACCCCCGTCGCTCGCATTCGTGTAGCACAGGCTTGTCGCTAGCCGTACGTTGCCGAACGCGCAGTTATGCTCCCACCCAACTTGCTCGCGTTCCGTTGTGGGTCGTGAGTTTCATTTTTCTGTGAGCCCTTCCCGACGGAGATCATGACGGCAATGGTCACCATGGGCAACACCTACATTTGTTTCCCCCTCGAGGTAGAACTGCTGCTGTGCGAACCCTGTGTATCCGATGGACTGATATACTTTCTCCGCAAAATATGAAGGTTGTTCTGACGAAGATTATGACGTCGAAAGAGAAAACAAACGCGTTTGCGGTGATTCAGGGTATCCTCTCCGAGAGCGGACCGGCAGGCTTCTACACAGGGATTCAGGTATCTATGTCGTGGAGTATTTAGTAGACAGCATCGGTGCTACAATACCGCATCCATCGGTAGTGCTTCCTATAGGTGAAAGGATAAGGATTCCCCCGACCGACCTACCGCAATATTGTCCGCTTCCTTGCACGCCGCAGGCATGTTCTGGTACAATTAATGTAGCTTACCGGTGTTATCCCATCGTCTCTCTTGTTATCAAAGTACAGTCGTGACTCCGACATAAGAGGGTGGTATGACAAAGGCCCTCGACCCTCTCATATCGGAACCCCCCTTCTTATGCCGGAACAATAGGGTACCCAACTGTACTGTGGTGGGTCGAGTCCTTGACAGCTGATCTCGACCCTCTTACATCGGAGCCCCCTCTTTTATCGTACCCACGATTGTTGTAACCCATAGATTCGGATCGTAGTACGGGAGCTGTTCGATGCACCTTTTCCTTTGTTTTTCGTGCTGTGCAAACTCATTCTCACAGGCCTCCTTCCCCCACTCACCCTCTCCCCGCTTGCATCCACTTGCTGCTCCCCCCCCCTCGCGAAACGAAGGCGTACGCCGTGCTCTGCTTAAAGCCAGCGATCCAGTACGCTGTTTTCAATCGCCTCAAGGCAATCACGCTCGCCTACCGGGGTGACGGGCGCGGCTCTGCCCAACCGAAGGAGCTCACCGCCGTCCAGGTGTGCCGCCGCCCTAACGTGGATGATGTTGCAGTTGATATGGGGACGTGAAACAAAGATCGTGGCTGTCCCTCTGTCGTCGAGGAAGAGCCAACGAATCCCTGCAATACCTCTGCCCTTCTCTATCTCTGTCTCTGTCGGTCGGTCTTTACTATCTCTCTATGTCTGTCCTCCTTCTCCTCTCTCGCATCACCTTCTCTCTCTCTTTCCCAATCTTTCTCTCTCTCTCTCTCTCTCTCTCTCTCTCTCACTCTGTGTCTGTGTGTGTCTGTGTCTGTGTGTCTGTGTGTCGTTCGGCATCTCCCGCCCTGCCTCCCTTTGGCGCTCTCGTGTCGCCGAATTTCGCCAGTAGGCATTCGTCATCGGGGCCATCTCGCGCGCCGTGGCAACGGTCATCGTCTTCCCGTACATCCGAGCCAAGGTCATCATCATGAGCAAGAAAACGGGGGAGGGGAGCGGCAACGGCACCAAATCCCCTTCGACATCCATCCTGTCGAGTCTCGTCACCCTCTTGAAGGACGACGGGTTTTCGGCGCTGTTCCAGGTGTGTAACACGACATTGCTGTTGATATTTCTACGCTGCCCCTTCTCTCCTGATTGTAGAAAAGACAATGCTCCCTTGTCAATGATGCCATACCATAAGCTTGGATAATGCCCCAAAACAACAACGGCAGCAATGTAACACTCTCTTGAAAAGCAGGTGCGCTTTCTCCTCGGCTTGTCCGTGCATAGAACATGAAACAGCAAAACAAGTGCGCCGTGGCGGCTTTGCAGAGATGCGAGGCCCCACGGTGGTTCACCGTGGCCATCGTACAAAATACCTCAAATACCCTCCGGCTGTAAAAGGTATGCACGTGTGGTGCAAGCTGGGAGACCCGTGAAGAAGGGCTCACTTGTTGTTGCTTGTGTGGAACAGCAGCAGCAGTAGCGATTGCCTTGGGTTGGATAAGAACCGAACTCGGTGGGGCAAGCTCGTCTGCTAGAGCAGGGGCCACTAAGATCCTGTCCCCTGATGTATCCTTCCGCGGGGAGTTACCTATCCCCGCGCCTTCAACAAGGAATCGTTCTCGTGTATGTTCCGTCTGCACGTCTAAATCCTAAAACATCGCCCCTTGAGCGCGCCCTCTCCTCTGCGCCCCCTGCCGCTGCTGCACCCCCCGTACCCACAAGGGCATCACCCCAGAGATCGGGCGAGGGGTACTGTCGGCGGCGCTGATGATGTTGGTGAAAGAAAAGATTCACAGCACGGTCAAGGGCGCCATCGTCGGCAACAGGACGTCGTGAAGCATATCCAACCGCAAGTCGATTTCCCTACGATTTTTAGTCACCCCGCGTTGCCTCTAGCCTGGCCTATTACGGGGCGCGCGGCCCTGCTTCAAAGGGTGCTTTTTGGTCGCTAGAGGACGTTGACATCCAGTAGCTAACAGGTCAATCTTTGCGGTGGTTGGTGGGGGCTCCGATGATAACATGATGGAGGTTTGGTTAGCTGATCACTTTTTGTTGTGCGGAGGTCTTCATGCGCTGCTTGTTTTGTTTTGTTGTTGTGCTGTTCTTCTTTGCCAGACATGATGAGGTGACATCAGTCTGTCTGTGGTCGTCTCTGTTTCAGGTATTTTGTTGCTTTGGTTGCCGTCAAGACGTTCATGTGTTGTCGCCGAGTCTGTTGTAGTGCCCGCACATAAAGTAAGGGCACAGGCGGGGAGGCTCGTTTTGTAGAGAGTCGAAGAGCGGGTTCAATCCTAGATATGCGTAGTGGGATAAAACAATACGAGCATGGATGTTTGAAGAGTGGAAACGCAAAGTTATGTGTTTCTGGGAGCGATGGGAGGCGGAAACGAGTGCGATCATCATCCCGAAACCTATGTTATTTTTTATCGGGATATCCTTTCGCTGCACGGTAGTGGAGGCAATAAGAGCTGCGCTACACGTGGAACTTCGGTATCAATGATGTTTTCGAGGTCGTCTACAGCCAGTCATTGCTACAGAGCAATGAATGGCTGGAGCTCGGCAGCACACAACTCGCAGGAGAGTTGCCGAGACCTGTTTTTTTCAAGTACAACATGCAGCAAGTGTACTAAAATGAGAATTATTATCTTTCTGCACATCACACGACTGGTCGTATGCAGTCTTGAATATGTTCTCTATCCCTCTCGCTGACATGCACTACCGGCACTGTGCATTCTACAACGGGACCACGTATGCTTTGGATGCGTAGTAAGGGCGTCGCGTGTCATAATGACTAGTCTAGGTGCCGTCCCAAAGAAACACATATATACTACGTAGATGTGTGTATTGTACCGATTTTCCTTTCATGAACAACGGACACTGAAGAAGTGGAGACGGCTCGAGGAAGATCGCGAAGGATATTTACCCATGCTGAGCTGAGGTGCCAATCTCTTTCGCGCTCTCAGGAGCAGAGAAAACAAGGGGGTCTACCGCTCTTTTGGCTTTTTTAGGCAAAGAGAGCCGGCGGCGGCCGAGACCGAAATGCCTCTTTCATTTGTACCCCATTTCAAAGAAAAAAAAAATCTCACCCTTCTTTTCGCGAAAACGGCGCCGATTTTACCTAGAGAGCAGAGTCATCAACGTAGTATCGCGGAAGGAAAGAGAGGGAACGACAGAGAGAGAGGGGCAAGGAAGCGTGCGACACGAACGACACGTTACCGAAGGGCCTGTGTGCAGGCCATCGCATCGGAGCCAACGGTGATGGCAATGATAGAACGCCAGTTTGACGATGAAGTTCAAGGAAATGATGTGGACATCGAGTTTCTGGGAGGAGGCTCGTTAGCGCCGGCGCTGGCGGCGCAAGGGGCAGCAGCAACGCCAAACAGAAGCTCCCCGATCGTCGGGATGCGGGGTGGGCTCGAGGGTCCCGGGGCGGCGGCAGAGCCCATCCGTGGGCTGGCGGCGTTTGGCAGCCACGGCAGTGTTCAGGATAGCAGTTCTTCCGCCGTCTCTAGCGTGGGCAGGTATCAGCACCATCATCATCACCCTCAGCAGGGAGGAGGGGAAGGCCCAGGTGGGAGGTCGCCAACATCGTCAACAAGGCCACCGGCACCGAACGAGACGCAGGATGCGGTGGCAGGTGGGGAGAGTAACGGGGCGGCGGCGCTGAGAGGGAGCGGCACGGAGGGAGGTGGCGACAGCACTAGCGTTAGGGAGAGGAGAACGAACAGCAGCAACAGCGCGCAGCGGTCGGGGGCGCGAAGCAACAGCCCTTACCGAGGAGGTGGCGGAGTTTCCCGCACGCCAGGCCAAGGGGCTAGTAGTCCAGGTGAGCTAGAGGCACAGCGGTGCGGGTGCTTCGAGGGGAAGGCTCATAGGGGGCCTGTCCTGCGGAGGGAGGAGATACAGCCAACATCAGACAGAGTAGGTTTCAAAGTATATGATGTGTCCGGCTGTTGTTCATCCAACACGAATGTTTGGATGCGTCGTTTCGTGGCTTTATATACCGGACACGATATATAGTAGATTGATTTTTTGAACTACTCCCTTGTTGGCACACGCTACATATGGCAGCCGTAGGGCTTGTCCGCTCTCTCGCGTGCCATGACGTCGCCTTGCAAGGTGTCGGTATGCTCCCCTGCCTTGCGACGTCCCCTTGCGGCAAAACCCACGGAAACGTTTGACTTCCCGCTGCGTTTTGGTTGCCTATCGCAAAACCCAGCCCCCCGCCACAGTCTGGAAAACCCCGTCTCCTCTCTGGTGTGCTGTCCTACGAACAAGTGGTGGCGGTTCTGACCGATTCGATGCGACCAAGCGTATCGTACTGGTTTCAGAATTGGATCTCATACCGGGTTTAGTATTCAGTCTGCCTGACGGTTTTCTTCCCTCATATCCGTCACTAAGAAGGGGTAGGCTCCTCCAGACAATCACGTGTCCGTGGGCGTGTGCTTGTCAGACACAGCAGTAGGTACCCCCATGATCCATCAGGTTCACGCCCTTTGGTGAGCTCGAGCACCCCGCCGCGTGCGAAGAAAAACTCGAAGCGCTCGCCCTCTCTTCGTACGCTGCTGCACATTGGTGTGCTGTATTTTAGTCGACATGCAAATAGAGCTGTGGGTTGCTTGATTTCCTGAGCGGCTTTCACATGCATGTACGAAGAGTAGTAGTATTAGCAGCAGCAGCACGTTTGTCTGCTTTGCCACTACTGCTGTAGATACTCCGTGGGAGAGGCATCAACCAACCGGTTAGGTGGGTTGTTGATTTTCTCGAACAAAGTTTTGTCAATGAGTGTAAATACATCGTACTCAGCAGGCGGGTGGGTGGGTGCGTGACGGGTGAGGGGATGCGTGTGTATAATGTATGTTCGTCTTCATTATCTATTACTTCTGTAGCGTCGTGTGTGTTTGTGGCGTCGAGGCCGCGTGTAGGCAAGAGTCACAGCTGCCGTCCTTCGAGTGTACCCGCATGCTACCGCTGTACACAGCAGTCACTCAAGCGGCACGTGGCAGCCGCGACGTCCATTGACACAACCATACAACACTACACTTACACTTCACACCAGCAAGATGGCAAATGTGCTGTGACTAACAAACCCACAGGACTTGTGTCGCCACGTTGTTGAGACCATTACACACCTTCAGACCGCCTTGTTTACACCATAAAATTTAGACGAGGAGCGTCATTTTGATCATAGGGACAACGTGCTCATGTCCTGGCGGTTTTTCGTCTGTACTGCCGCAATGGCTGGGCCTTCAGTTGGTAACTGCTTGTAGCCTCGCAAACCCGCTGACTTTTGGGACGTTGGTTCGAATCTCAGCGCATCCACTACAAGCTGGCATTTTTTCTCGCAATGTGCCAACAGCAACGCAGAGGTCGTTATTTCCTTCATGCGAGATAACGGTCCATGAAGGAAAAAGGAAAGGAAAGGCTCAACAGCTGTTATTGTGATAAAAAAACACTGTAAAATTGCGTACAAGGCAACAAGCACGGCGCAGAAGGAAGTTGGAGAAAACGGGAAACTCCTGTGTGGCCCTGTGGCGGATGCTTCCAGCTTCCAGACATTATGCCTACAGCCTGGACGTCCAGAAGAAATTGGACTAAATACATACGCACACGAACACCGCCCTCTCCAGTGTTCCTGTCCACATGAAAAGGGAGTCTTCGTTATATACTTTTCCGTGCTGCTACAAGGTGGTGCTGTCGTACTACATACGCATATCATTGTTCCGATGTTGGATACATACATATACATAACCACGTCGGTTTGGGCTCGACGAAACCATGTATACGTTCGCTTCTGTCACAATTCCCTCTTGGGCGTCCACCTTACATCAGTGATAGTGTTTGGCCTCTTCAGGTCTGGAGGCCGGCGGGTCTGATGCCACACCTAAAAAAATAAGTGCATTCGACCGACCGAGCTCTCGACTGCCGTCCAATCGTATGCATATGCCCAATCATACTCTACGAAATAGATTAAATCGATATCGCGTAGGGCCGATGCAGTTTGAGTTCCGTACAATAAACTGTTGACGACCCTTCTAAAAGTGGAGCTGCCTCGTTTGTGTCGATGATATTGCAGTGATTTCTTCGGAGTAACCTCGGCGTAGAGTTGTTGTTGGTGGTTACTCTACCCTGAGTATCGCACACCGCGTGTGACGAGATTTCTATGCTTTGAGGCCAAATTTGGCGTCCCCCTAACGACAAAGCGGTCTGTGCCAGCTTTAGCTTCGCCCCGTCATGACTCGAGATCGAGAGCGGAAAGGACTCATGGCGAAGTTACTTCACGCAGTACCTCATAGATCGTCGGCGCACTGCGGCAGCAAATAAATATTTAGTTGCCGCTCTCATGAAGGCTTTTGGAAGGCATCCCGTGGTCGTCACACGTTCACACGGCAGGGGGTAAAAGTGGGTGCAGGAAGCCACAGGTACCAAACTAGCGTCCGAGAGCAAGGCTGTACACGCGCAAACAGCGACAGCAGCGGCCGCGAGAGAAACCTGTTGAATGGCAAAACGAGCGTAGCGAGTGGTAAACATCCATGATTCGAGTGACGGCATGACCATGAGGCAAAACAAAAGGCAAGGGCGTCACGATTTGTTCTTGCGGTCACGGGGTTTTACTCCACGGTCGATGAGAGAAAAGGATGGCTCGTTCCTTATGGCGACAAAACATGGGAAGCAACAGGAAGGTGCACTGAGAAACTAAACAAGTTGTTTTATGAGGCCTGATGAGGATCAACCATTAGTCACAGCCACTTGATTGAGGTGGCACTAGTTCGATCAAGAGATTTACGCCCGTACTCAGAATGTTTAGGCGATGAGCGATGAGCGGTTTGCCCTGCCGGTACTACTGTCAGTGGCTGGGAATGGGCCTTTCCCCTTGTTGCACAATCTGATGAGTCCAGAATTCCCAGAGAGGTATCAAGAGTATGGTCCGGGACATGATGGGATGGGATGGGACGAGATGAGAATGCACGCTTCTCCAAGAGTACGTGTAAGAGACGCAAAAGCAAGCACCATACATGTAACACGATGACGATGACCATCGACATATGACGGAGATTTCCTCCCGTCTCGCATCACGGGAGATGACAGCACGTATGGACAAGACCCGACATGTGGCTGTAGCATGCTGACACTTGTCGCACTTGTTCGGGACTACAGGGGCCATTGGGATATTCACGTGTTGTGTTGAATGGTCTTTTTTTAGTCGAAAATCTACACACAAACACAGCTGACTACATAAACCCGTTCGAGATATACCGTAGGTTGTAAGATACCGCTGAACCGATTTCCAAATGTCGGTTTGTCCATGACGAAGAGAATGCCGACATCAAATGATACCTTTTTGGAAAGCTCTCGACGAGACGGTTCCAGCGCCGCAATTTTCGGCACTGTCACCGCTTTACTTGCCGAGTAACCCAGCTTTGGAAAATCGGTCCAGGGGGTTGTTATCTTCCGT